AAGAGTAACTAATTACAAATTATACTAAAATTAATATTTTAGTTTTTAACCATAACAATAGTTGATCCAATCATCATAACCTTACCTTAAGTACTCAGAGATGATATTAGATTAAATTCCTTTGTATTGTTGAATCTATAACAGGAAGCTTAACTTACGAAGTCTCCTTAGCTAATTCCTTCTCAGAAGACTAAAAGCAATGAAATGACACACAACACAGTGTTTTTGCAAGCATTTCTCAACACTTTTTTCGTCTATTTTCTAGTCTAGTCAAACTGCATCATTTCTTTCAAAAAAAAACAAAAACAAGTGGAAAATGCAATGATTGATGGCTGTTTGTAGCATTTACCAAGGTGACAAAACAACTAACAAATCACAATACTTTTATTTTCATATAATAAACACGTGTACACTCTATTATGTAAAAACACAGTTAATTTAATTGAAACCTCCTGCATAAAGTATTTTTACGACAGCGGAAGTCACGTGACGCTCCTGGCGCTGGTAGCGTGCGTGAAATTTCTCGAATGATCGGGAATGCCCGAGTGCATTCGAGGCGCCCCCTTCTTTGGTATATAAGCCTGGCAGAAAAAGCCTGCGGTAATGAATGTATGATAAAGCGAACAGTAGACAAGGTAAGTTTCGGGCGAAATTATCGAGATTGTGAATCGCTGTGGTTTGTAGCGTGTATTATAAAAGTTGTTAAGTTTAAAGTGACGAGAAACGTACTGACTGTGGAATTACTGTGTAATAAATGTTTGTATCGAGAAATAATAAACTGGTTTAATCAAGAAAGGACTTGTATCGCTGAAGTTTCTCGGAAAGAAATGCTATCGGAAATTAACAAACAAGCAGATATGTAACAGTATTTTATAACATTAAGCGAAGTTTGAAATGAAACAAATTCGTTGAACCATTGGCGCCGATCCTAGGGAGGGTATACATACCTGCCCTCCTCATTTTATAGACCTCTCAAAGATGCATATATTTTACAACCAAGGTAGTGCACTACTTTGGTCGACAGCCATCTTTTAGGATCTTCCAATTATTTAAGGAACACACAAATATACTTCGATGCACCAAAGTTTATCATTCGACGAAGTGAACACGCGATGTACACTTTCCAGATGAGACTTCATTATTCCAAACCCATAAGTCTTAAAAAAATATATTCAATCGAAATGGCGGAGTGGACTCCAGTAAATGTGTACAAATATTGTTTTGAACGTAACGGTTAAAAGTTACAACTTAACAAATGTTGAAAGCACCGACTTTACTTATTTATTTAAATACCATTATGAAAAGAGAAAAGACAACTTTTTAAAAGTTTAAAGAATGTAAGTCGTAAATTTGTCGCAACTAGTTTTAAAAATATTTTAAATGCATCCCAGACGTATATAACAAATAAAATGTTTTTGAAAACGAAAGAGTATTGCTCTGATTAATAGCCTAATTCTTATTGTTTTATGGTACTGTATTGGAAAAACAAAAGAGCTATGTTCCAGAACACACACATTAAGAAGAACTTACTTGGAAAACATTAAGGTGAGGGTGAGTATCTATATTCCTTCTTAACCAACTTTATTAGTATCATCATCCTTATTGTTATTATTACAACAATTATATGGTAATTTTACGATAAGATGCAATCAAACATAGCTAACAAGATTACAGAATCATGTGAAGCATTTTCCTCTGATGGCCACTGTAAACTTTCTATATGACGTCATGAAATATTTTTCAGTCGAGATGGGACCCATGCTTTCAACATAGCATGTGTTTCGATTTGGCAGTAAAACTAATGTTAGGTTTAATGTCATTCGTTCGAGATCTGATCGCGTGTAACCATGATCTTCATCAAATTAATCTAGTTCGTATCATAACGTTTGTTGTTCACACAGTTGGAAAATATAAATATCGTCTCAACCATTACTGCCTCTGTGGTATATACAAGCTGGTCTAATGAGCCCTGGCGTTGGGTTAAAGGCCTCGTCGGTACTAGATAGGGCAGATATAGTGTGGTTGATACATTGTTATATACATTCTTCTTTGCATTTATTCACAAGTTCTTAGAATTGTGTATGCAAAGTGGTGAAATTTATAATCAGTATAGAGATGAAAAGAACAACATAAAAACACCAGACAGCGTTCATTTTACCCTCTTCCTAATCTTTTCAATGCATGGAAGTGCAAAGTTTCTGAGGATAATACCTCGATATTCCTATGATTACTTCATGGTTACCGAAACGGCTGTTATCAGCTATTGATACTGTGTTTGTGTTATATTTATGCACTGAACTATTAGAAAAGAAGAAAATGCATGAAACAATCCCTTTATTTGAAACAAATCATTTTATTATTCCCCAAACACTTTCAAACACCCAAAATAACAATGATATCTGGATAAAGTAACAAGATTAAATCTTCTACGCTCGTATATCATCGATTTTCATCATTCCATTACTCAAAATGGGATATTGAAGGGGTTATTTGGATGTTCTTCCACCCTAACAAAATAAGAAAAAAAAGAACCAGTTCTAGTTCTGCTTATTAAACAATCAAACAAACACATGAAGAACCAGTTCTAGTTTTGCTTATTAAACAATCAAACACATGAAGTACCAGTTCTAGTTCTGCTCATTAAACAATCAAACACATGAAGAAACAGTTTTAGTTCTGCTTATTAAACAATCAAACAAATGAAGAACCAGTTCTAGTTCTGCTTATTAAACAAACACATGAAAAACCAATTCCATTTCTGCTTATTAACAATCAAACACATGAAAAACCAATTCCATTTCTTCTTATTAACAATCAAACACATAAAGAACCACTTCTAGTTCTGCTTATTAAACAATCAAACACATTTATTTGTAATATTTCTTTTTTGTGCATAATGCTAACTTTGTCAAAAATTAAAAGTACTTTGTTTACTTAAAAAATTCTTACTTAGCTCAAAATTATAGAATGAAGAACATTGCTCCAGGTTCTATTACTATAAGCTATTTATTAAATGTAGCTAGATATGCTTCTTTATTGAGTAAATTCTCTAAAATAATATTTAAAATGTTAAAAAGTAAACTTAAATTTATTATATTCAAGAAAAATAAATTAAGACTGAATACATAAAAGATGCTAATATTACGCTTACCCACTGTATTCAAACAATCTATGATTCCTATCTAAACCATTTATCTGATTTACATCTTCCTCAGACAAGTTGAAATCAAAGACCTATATAATGGTGAAATAAAAAAAACAAATAAACCTTCATAATAATAAAACAATATAACCCAAAATAATAAAAATGTAACATATCACACTATTAATTGTGAATTTTACTAAACTCTTCCATTCAAGAAAAAATAAAACAAAATAAAACTAACCTCAAAGTTTTGTTTGATCCTATTTGGGTTAGAGCTTTTTGGAATAACTATAATTCCTCGTTGAATCAACCATCGCAATAAAATCTGGAATAATGAAATAAATTGATGTAAATTAAAAATATAAACTTGTTTACTTAGAAAAGAGAAAGAAAAACTGAATCACAAAAATATAAAATGAAAAAGTATTTACATAGCCTAAAGTACCAAAAGTAAGGGAACAACCACACTCCTCAAGATAGTAATGGGTCCATCCATACTGACTGAATTTGCCAATGTTATGTAGAATTTATGTAAGCAACAGGCAGCCAATTTAAGTCAAAATACCAAGAGAAAAGGAACTTGGTGACATTCAATGAGGAAAGATGAATGAACATGTATTAGTGGTTGGAGTCTGAATTATTTTAACCTCCCTTAACCTATCCAAGCCCAGTGTGGTTAATATACTATAAAAAAGAAGACCAGTGAATTTACTAACATAGAATATCAGCGAGCCTCAAACAAAACACTTCTCAGATCTTGGGGAACTAAACACATGTTGTAAAATGAAATAACCTGCATATATTCCTTTAAAACAGTCACTTAGTGGTTTATTAAGAGTATGGAATTCTAAATCACTATTACACTGTGTACTAGCAGCTTCATGCTACTGGAATTCCTGAATATTACATCTTCAACAAGGGAAAACATTTCTTTATAGTTGTCAAACTCAAGACTGAGCTGATTTCAGGAAAGGAGCCAGCACAATTGCTTGCATTCATAGCTTCTTTACAGTGGTAGACACTTTCCTTTCAGTTATTCCTTTCAATTTTCCACTCAGGGCTATACAGAATTCATTAATGGATTGCCTTACATAAGCAGAATTTTTAGGATACAACACTCCTAAAATTACACTACACTTTGCTTTTGGTAAAACCTCTGTACTCTGTTCCAAGAAAAAGGAAAGCTTGACTTTTATAATGTAGAACACTTTGTGTACCATGGCACCATCTCTCTCTGCACAGTCAAAACCGATTCAAACTTTTATTACAGAAACACAAGCACAGCATAGATTCTCTGTTACTGTTGATGATTGGGAATGATGTCTTTAATGTCAGACATCGTTTTGTTCAGGGCATTCTTCCTCTTAAGAGAGCCAACAATAGTGCTTAACATATCAATATATTTTTCAAAGATATTATCAGTTATATCATGGTATTTACTCAATGATAAAGGTATAAGTTCTAAAATGAGATCTATATTTTTAGAATTAAAGTTGATATAAAAGTTTACCTGAGCTGCAGTTTTCTGGTGCTTTTCAGCAATGTCTTGAAGAGCAGGATCTTTCAATAAGTTTGGTAACTCTGCATTACTGTGCAAAGAAAAAATATATATAGGTAGAAAAACTATATTTTAATGTTAGTGGAAGAGCTGGAAAAAATTGAATACAAGTTTTTAAATAAGAAATATAATTAAGTTAATCAACAATCCACACATATTTAATAGAAAATGAATATCTATTCTTGATTTATTTGGGACATAAAATAGTAAGGTACACTTTCCACAAGTAACTCATCAAGTATTTTTGTGCAACCTAAAAAATATTAAATTTATTTGTTTATTTCTTTATATTCAATACTTACATTCCAAAATTTTCTCTCAAAAATCCAGATAGACTAGGGTTGCCAAGTGGACCATAGGCAGTCAAGCTGATGTTAAGTTCTTTGCAAATCTGAAATAACTTGATTTGAGGAAAATAAGCATGGCATTCAACCTAAAAAAGTATAAATAAATACATAGTTCTTAACATTCATTTTAAAGATTATATAAACACAAAAGACAAGAACACATACATTACAAATATAGTTATATACCTCAGACAAGATAATAACTCCACTTGCCTTTTGCTGTCTGCAGCCAGTTGAGGGAAGGCAGTAACCTTTAATATTTAGAAATAACTTTAATGTACAATTAAACCAACCTGATAAAAATTCTACAAAGTAAAACTCCCAACCTCCACCCTTTTAATTGATTTTATAAATGATATATAATATTCTTATAGTAGAACTACATAAATACAGAACACCCAATTTCTACCCTTTTATTTGATGTTAAGAACTAAAGAAGTAGAGAAAAGTTAAGTCAAATAACATTCAGTCAGAAAACGTTATGTAAAGTCAGACTGCCTGATTGTTATTTTAGCTGTAACAGATGATATTGAAAGTGAGTTTCACAGTTTAACATGGATAAGGAGAATAATTTGTCTTTTCAAAGGGTGTTCTGAAGTAGTTGAACCTGCCTGTATGGACTTAGACAAAATAAAGGTGACATTTAAAGATCGATATACAACTGTAGTAACCCATGGGGTAATGTAAGTGAATTATTCACTGATAACAGTAGAGAAAAATAATTTGTCTTGTCAGTTGGATTCTAAAGTAATTGACTCAGCCTGTGTGGACTTTTGATAAGAAAAGAGAATTATTTAAAGTTTGAGATACAACTGTGATATCCATATTATAAAGAATTCTTGTACATACTATTACAACAGCGGAATTCACGTGACCCCGGTAACACGTAATGAGTATCTAGAATGTTCCTGAAGGCTCGAGCGCTTGCTAGACTCGTGCTTTTATAGTATATAAGACCGGCGAGAAGTGACTGGAGACAATTGAATTGCAGACAGACAGAGACATAACAAATTGGTGTCAGAAGTGGGATAAAAATAAATAAAGAAGATGGAAACGAGAGGTGGCAAATCAAACTACAGCTTAGCAGATTTGATGGCAGCATTACAAGAACAGCAAAAGAAACAAGAACAAGAAAATAGACAAGAAAAACGAGAGAAAAAACAAGAAGAGAGATTACAGAAGTTGTTGGAGGAAACATAAAAGAAACAAGAAGAGAAACAGCAGTTGCAAGAAAACCTGCAAGAGTGGCAGCTCGAACAGCAAAATAAACAAGAGAGATGACAGCAGTTGTTAGAGGAAAAAGAAAAGAAACAAGAAGAGAGAGATTACACCAGTTGTTGGAGGAAAAGAAAATAAACAAGAAGAGAGACTACGACAGTGGTTGGAGTAGAAAGAAAATGAACAAGAAGAAAGACTACAGCAGTGGATGGACGAGAAAGAAAATAAACAAGAAGAACGTCTCCAACAATTGTGAGAAAGCCAGAGTACACAAATGGAAAACATTAGTAAATTTAAAAGCGAATTAAATACATTTAAGGATGACTTATTGTCTTTTACACAAGGAGGATACATTAACCATCGACTTAATCAGTCCCAGACAATGACAAGCCCCTTCCAGACCCCGCAACTAAACCCTAATGCAAACATTTTCAGTCCTGTTACAAGTCACATCCCAGATATGAATGTCAGCAATAGGGGTGATCCAGTACGAAGGAAGCCACAGGAATTCGATGGGAAGGCACCG